GAAAGAGTTTGGTGATATTGCCCATCATACAGTTAGAGGGCAAAATAAGCTTTAATATTTTCAGAATGCAACAATTAAAATTTTCTTCTGTACTTCTGTCAAACAGGAAATTTGTAATTAAATAAATTTGTAAATACCCAAGAGTAGACATTCACACTGTCAGTATATTATACCTTTTTTATACAATTCCAAATAAAGTTTGGTGTTTCAAAAAGAAATTTACTTGAGGGACTTCGCTCGTGGTGCAGTGGTTAAGAATCTGCCTGCCAATGCAAACACAGGTTTGAGCCCTGGTCCAGGAAGATCCGACATGCCACGAAGCAACTAAGCCCGTATGCTACAACTACTGAGCCTGCGCTCTAGAGCCTGCATGCCAAACTACTAAAGCCCATGCGCCTAGAGCCCATGCTCCGCAACAAGAGAAGCCACCACAATGAGAAGCCCACGTACCACAACGAAGAGTAGCCCCCGCTCGCCACAACTAGAGGAAGCCCACACACAGCAACGAAGACCCAATGCAGCCAAAAATAAATAAATAAATAAATAAATAAAATAAAATAAAATAAAAAGAAATCTACTTTAAGCTGGCTTACCTTCCACACTCAAAGTCCCCATTTTAGATTCCAAGAAGTCAAATAATGTGCTTGGTGCTGATGGCCTTGCATTTCCCAGTTCCTCTTCATCTTCAGATCTTATTCGCCCCCTGCCTTTTCCTTTACCTTAAGAAGTAAAGCAAGACATATACATTATACATGCAAAAACTAAAGAAGAATATACACTAAAATATAATCAGCAGACATCTTAAGTAGAACTTTATATATATTTTTCTTTTCATATTTTTCTGTATATTCTACATCCATTATAACAAAAGTGTTTTTAAATGACTATATTAAGTAGCACCTTTAATCCTGTAAATGCTCTATCTGGAAATTTGAATTTGTTCATGTAAATTATCTTTTAAGGAAAATAAATCATTTTTATAAGATTTTTCTTTAACCGCTTATTTTTTGCTTAATTGAAGTATAGTTGTTTTACAATGTTGTGCCAATCTCTGCTGTATAGCAACCACTTATTTTTTTAAAAGAATATAGGATTGGGACTTGAAAAATCACATAATACATTTGACCATACAATAATTTTAAAATAACATTAAGTAAAAGTCATGTTCCTGTTAATTATTAAAAGTTTATAGACTAATTTGTCATTTATACAAATGGCCTAGTTCTAGAAATAGTTAATAGAGCTAGTTACTTTATATTTTCTGTATTATTCATGGCCTTGTTAAATAAGGTATTAGACCTACTTTATAGAAAGATGAAGACAATGAGACTAAGAATAACCTACATAAGACTGTGGCTCCCAAACTGCTGCTCCTTCCACTTACCATAATGGTAAATGAAGTTATAGCCTTCACAGCAACAAAACCCAGTCTTTGTTGATAACACATATTTCTCTGAAAATCAAATAATACTGTCTGGCACATTGCTTAATGAATTATACCTCTCAGAGGTGGACCCGTAACAGGTTTCTGTTTATTGCTGTTAAGAAGTACATTCAGTGCTGCTTCTAAGTTGTTGCCATTATCCATGAGAGCTTGCCTTGATGCTTCTTTACTAAAGCCCATTTCTGTTATGTGCCTCAGAGCCTTCTCATCAACCTGTAAAGAACGAAGAGAAAAGATATGCGGATAGCCAATAAACAAGCAAGGTATAAGTTTTTAACTACATACTGTTTTTTAACTAAAAATTACATCTGATGTTTATGGAAAAAATGTGATATTAATACATCACTTGCTGTTTTTTCATACCAATAGTCAAGGAAGGATCTGTGATATGCAGGGCTGTGCCTTGAGTACTTTCTCTGTACCATTACAAATGCAAAACAAACAGAAAAGAAATTTTATATGTCAGAATAAGGCTTTTGAAAATAATACAGGCAGTGAAAACTACCTAACGAAAAATTTTCATGGTTGACACTCCTCTGTCCTAAGGAAGTGCAATTTATATAGCACTTCTCCGAAAATGCAAAGTAGAAAAAGAAGTTAACAAAATGGTACCATCACAGTAGCTTGGTTTTTTTTCTACTCTCTATTGTTTCAGTACTCTGCTCTATATTTATTAGCAATACTATCTATGAAGCTTTGACAGCCTGCACCCCAAATAAAAAATCTACTTTACAAATGTCAGAACCCCAAATCTTGAAAAATCTAGACCTGAGTAGAATTAAAGAACTGTTTAAGGAACATAAACATATCCCATGAAGAAATTACTGAATCATAACCAGCTGAGGAATACATAACTAACTTTTATGCATTTAAGAGTTAAGATGGATAGGCTTTAAGATAGCATTACACATGGCATACATGGTGCAGATAGCTACTCTGATACCCATGTAGACGTTGTTAAAAGCACAGCACTTTTTTAAAAATCCTGTTTTTAAAACCCTGACTTTTCTTCAAACCCTGATTTTGTGACTTCCAAAGACAAAATCCTTTCTAAATATAGTAGCAACGATCAACAGATCAGAGCTGACACGTAAGAGAAAATTTACATCCCTGCTGTAGATATACTAACGTAAATGTAAAAAGGATTGGACATTAAAACTATAATTCATCCTTCTTATTCAAAAACTTATCTAAATGTAAAAAAAAAATCCTTCTAAAGCCTTTCCCTCTCCCAATTACCTCCCAAGTAAATATCTAATTAAGAATATTGTCCCATACATAGAATTTAACCAAACACACTCAAGAATCAATTAATATCCAACCTTGGTATAACTTATTGTACCTTTCTTGTTAACCTGATTTGCAGTTAACCAGTTAACTCTCATTCAGTGTTGTTGGCAGGGCCATGCTCTCTCTGACAGATTTAGGGAAGAACCTTCCCTGCCTCTTCTAGTTTCTGTTGTTTGCTGGCAATCCTGGGCATTCCTTAGCTTATAGATGTATCACTCCAGTCACACAGCCATCTTCTCACTGTGTGTCTTCAGGTCAACTTCCCCCCGTGAGTGTCTATCTCTGTGTCTAAATTTCCCCTCTTTATAAGGAGATTAAATTAGGGTCATATTGGTTTAGAGCCCAACCTAATGACCTCTTTTTAACTTGGTATCTCTGCAAAGATCCTGTTTCCAAAGAGAGTCAGTCACATTTTAAGGTACTGGTGATCAAGACTTGAAGCTATCTTGTTTGGTGGGGGGACGGCGCGGGGGTGATGGATGGGACACAATTCAACCTATTATACCACCTATTATCAAAAATTATTTTAAGAATCTGTCAACTGACATCCCAAACAAGTCCTCTTTCAATTGTTGAAAATAAAGAACTGAATACCATGCAACATGCAAAAGAACAGGGTTCCTGGTCATTAAAATCTCAAACTGTCCTTTTGATAGTCTCCTTCATTCTTAAATGACAGTTTTTCTGAATACAGAATTACAGGTGAACAGTTTATTTTCTTTCCGTACTTTCAATATATCACCCCACTGCTTCCTTGCCTCCATACTTTCTGATGAAAAATTGGCCATTTATTTATTGAGGATCCCTTGTATTTGATGAGTTGTTTCTCTCTCACTGCTTTCAAGATTTCCTGTCTGTAGCTTTCAACAACTTGATTATGTGTCTTGGTGTGTCTCTGAGTTTATCCTATTGGAGTTCACTAAGCTTCTTAGATTTGTAGATTTCATCAAATTTGGGAATTCGGGGGCATTAGTTCTTCAAATATTTTTTCTGTCCCTTTTTCTCTTCTATTGGGAAGAGAACATACACAACATAATGTGTATGTTGGTACATTTGATGGTACCTCATAGGTCCCTTAGGCTCTATTTTTCTTCATTTTTTTCTCTTTCTGCATCTTAGACTGGGTAATTTCAATTGCCCTATATTAAAGTTCACTGATTCTTCCTTCTGCCTGCTCTAGTCTGATGTTGAACCTGACTAATGAATTTTTTATTTCCACTACTGTACTTTTCAGTTCCAGAATTTCTATTTCATTTTTATAATTTATCTTTATTGATATTCCCTACTTGTTCATATATTGTTCTCCTGATTTCTTTTAGCTCTTTGTCAATGGTTCCTTCACACCTCTGAGCATTTCTAAGACAGTTAATTTAAGTTCTTGTTTAGTAAGCCCAATGCCTGAGCTTCTTCAGGGATAGTTTCTTTCAATTTCTTTTTTTTTCCTATGAGTGGATCATACTTTCCTGTTTTATGGTATGCTTTGTAATTTTCTGTTGAGAACTGAAAATTCTGAATACTGTATTGATGGTAATTTTGGAAATTGGATTCTCCCTCCTCCTCAGGGACTGCTGTTGTTAATTAATGAAGACTGCAGCTGTAAGTTTGTTTAGCAACTTTTCCAGATTTTCTTTTGTAAGGATTTTATTCCTTGTGATATGTGATCACTGGAGTCTTTGTTCCATTATCTCCCTGGTCAGCCAGTGACCAGCCTCTTTCTTCATTAATCACCACTCTGTATGCTTCAAGAGTTTGATTTGACTCCAGAGTTGTAAAATAGTTGCTTCAGACAATGTTTGTCAGCTTAAGAGTTGTTTTGGTGGACAGCCCAATAGCTGGAGCTTTCCATTCTGCCATCTTTGTGATATCACTCCCTTCATGTTTTTACTCTTCACAACAATCCCAAACTGCTGGTCTTTGGTGTTCTACGGCAAGACATCCCCAGACGAGGGTTCTCAATTCACTCAAGTTTAAGAGCTTCTTGAGTTAGAGACTGTGTAGTTTTCAACTTGCTGTATCCACTCAAACCTGAAAACTGACTTTTTTTTTTAAAGAAAGAGATGGTCACGTATTCAAGGAAAAGATAGTCTGGCTCTGTTATAAACCTATTCTCCTTGGCTAGTGACTGATTTAGGAGTGGGCATGTGACCTAGTTCTAGTCAATAAACTATAGATGGAATTTACTGGAGATTTCCGAAACTATTTTTTTATCTGATAAAATGGACCCACACCCAGATAAATGTCCCCTTTCCTTCTTGCCTTTGAACTTTTTGCATGAAGATTTAACACAGAGAGGATCCTGTAACCCAGAGAAGAAAACCAAGAAACTAGAGAGATGCTCACCAGAGCTCCAACACTGTTATACTGCTGAATTTACCAATCTTTGTAGCCATCTATCTCCAAATTTCTTGTTATATGAGATGATGAAACCCCATTATTTAAGCTAGTCTTAGCACTCTACAGACAAAATGACCCAAAGTCATTTAACTTTTAAAGGCAAAGGAAAATGAATTCCTGTCAGTTCCCTGATATCTGAGGACACTGTAGCATACCAGAAATATCTCTGACTCTTCCCATTATCTCAGAAATCCAGGAATATTTTGCAATTGAGTCTATAATATACATTTACTATTTCAATATATTTTTCCCAAAGAACACAACAAAACAAAATCACTTTAGACAAAATTTGAGAAAAGATGTGGGGAACGTAGGGAACGGCCCATAACTGTATGTTTCTGATGCATCATCTTTTAGAATATAATTTGCATTGAGCATTTTCTGTTTAATTTGATGACTTTTTATCAATCCATTCTAAAAGACATCATTCAGACATTAGAAAGTTAAGTAAAATGTAAATTTTACTTAAGTAAATTATTTTTCAACCAATCCAAATTTTCCATGGAATAACTGGAAATTATTAACTGGAATCCTTAATGAAAGCCTTCTTAGAGTTGTGACACCTATTTATAATATACTCAAAAAGCCAGTGGTGGTCCTGAGAAAGAATTAAAAAATCCAAGGCTATTAAAGAAAAAAAGACAAGCTTTATGGTTGGTTCTTCAGCCTTACCAGTTCTCTATAGACACCTTCATGTTTTCCCTCTGATTTGTTTGACTTTTCTTTCTGTAAAATCTCCCTATTTCGGTTGCCAGCAGCACTCATGTTGAGATTACTTCTAGCACCACCACCACCTCCTCCAAATGTCTTGGTCTTTAGATAACAGAAAGATAAAAGAAATGTAAATAAATGACATTTTAAAAAGCTCTAAAGGCTAAGCTATGACTAAACACTGAAGTAGTTAAGTTTCTTAATTATGTTTTACAGGAAAAAAATGAAATGTTAACTAATTCTTTCTAAATATCTACTAGTCATAATCTCACAAGTCCAGGTGAGGCTATTAAAAAAATTACATGATTATAATCTTTAAATCTCCAAGGCAAATCATCAGAATAAACTTAAGTAGACAACAATATAAAAGAAAAGAAAATAGTACAAGTATTATGGAGATTAGGTGTCAAAAATTATTCTAGGGTAAAATACTTGACTGATATCATGAGACCTGAGTTACAAATCCAGCCACATGGCAAGGCTTTCTTTAGCAAGGCACCAAACCTATCTAGGAATCTGTTACATTATGTTCATGATCCAGTAGTAGGATTCTAGAACATAAGAAAGTAGACAAATAATACAAATTTTAACATGGGATTAAAAGTCTCATTACTAATTTATTATTTACGTTAATTACCACATATGCTATATCTTACCAACTATGTATAAAAGCTTTAAAGTCCATATTTCTTATTTTGTCTGACTTATCTGAATAATTATATGTGTAATCAAATTTGAATTTGATCTCATTTTTGTTTTGTCAAAACTACAGTGGAAAGACTAGAACATAAAAAACATTGGTTAGGAAAGATACAAATTCATGACTGAAAAGCATTCTGCAGTTATTTGTACAATATTAAATTAAATATCTGGTTATATAATATCTTTATAGTTTTCTAAGAGCTAATAAAAGCAGAAGCCGAGACTTGATTTTTATTAGATATAATTATCAATATTTTTTAATGTATCCTAAAATGATTACAATAAGAAAACATCCTAGATATACATTTATATAAGACTGGGAAATTATTTTGAATCAGATGAAAATGTAAAGAAATAGAACCTGAAAAATAGAAAAATGATGTGAGATAAGCATCAGTGGACAACATATTAAATACCTCTATTAGATAGTTGATACACCACAATATTTAAGTTTAATTCAAATCAAAATTAAAACTACATCTTCAAAGACCAAAGACCCATTACTGGATTCATTCAGTTTTTGGTTTCTGCAATCCCAGTAAAAAAAGAAAAAAAATAGCTTTGGAATGTCTTGATAGTCATTGCTTACATAACCACAAGGAAAAATGTGAGTTTATATTAATGTGATACAAAGTTTATTAGATTGGGAGACAATGTAGTACAGGTAAGAATACAGGCTTAAGAGCTACACAGGGCTGGGACTAAATCTGTACTGAGCCACTTCCTAGTTTCCGCCCTCAGGCAAGTCACTTAACTTCTACCCTCCGTGAACCTCGGGTTTCTCATCTTTAAAACAGGGACGAGAGAATTCCCTGGTGGTACAGTGGTTAGGACTCCACACTTCCACTGCAGGCGGCAGGGGTTCGATCCCTAGTCAGGGAACTAAGATCCCACAAGCCGTGTGGACGGCCCAAAAACACCTACCTCACTGGGATGTTGTGAGGATTAAGTGACATCATCAACATGAAGTGATGAATTCAATAACTGGCACATAGTGAACACTCATAACAGATGGCAATATTACTGTTTTGCTTAATACATTAGAACATAGTTACTTGAAAAGTCTGGATCCTGACCTGTTCCAAATTAAATATATTTCTGGAATTTAAATTACGTAACTCCAAAAGTGCTTTTTATTTTGGTGCCAGTGAAATAGTCCCATCTTCTGGAAGCATTTCCTTATTATTTTATTTCCATTTTATGAATTAAGGAATATGATAAATAGCATTTTCAGAATTGCTTTCCACTGCTTTAAAACAGTTGTTACCCACTAAACATACAAATATCTAGAAACATCACAACTTAAACATTACCCATAACGTAACTGATGTTGTCCTGTATGAGCCACACCATCCCGTCCATATTATGTGAATTAGCCATCTGTGACATCATCACGACCATAAACCCCAAGTGGGCCTTAATGCTGTCTTGCAATTTTACTACATTTTCTTAGCCCATTCACCCTCCCAATCTTCTTTAGCAAGGCACCAAACCTATCTAGGAATCTGTTACATAATGTTCATGATCCAGTAGTAGGATTCTAGAATCTAAGAAAGTAGACAAATAATACAAATAATACAAACCACTATTTTACATGTTCTCCTCACTCCTCAAATCTCAAACATCTTCTCCCTCATTGTGCCTGTTTGACCATGCTTACTTCCTCACTGAAAAAATGGAAATAATCACTAAAGAACTTACATAGATTTTTACATCAACCCACCCACTGATATCTGCACACTTATACTTTATCTTACCAGCATCTACATGAATGATAAAGGAATGTGGAGAGAATGAATGACTCCTCTAACTCTACATTAATTCTCAGGCCACATCTTACATGACTTTTCAACAGTCTTTGATAAATTCAATACATCATCCTCCATGAAATAATTTCTGTATTCTCTTGTTTTGATCCTGTCTCACTGGTCACACCTTGGCTGGTTCAACTTCTTTCATTCAACTAGTAAGGTTGAAATGCTACAGGGTTCATTCCTTCTCCTTTTCTCTTCCCTTCAGCTCTCATTCCCTTGGTGATCTTATTTGACCTCATGATTTTAAATATAATCCATACGCCTACCACTTTCAAATGCATACACCCAATCCAAAACTCACCTTTCAGCTACACTCTTCTCTGTATCACTGCCTATTAAACATTACCACATGGATGCCTAAGAGGTACCTCACTATTAATATACTAATTATATTAATAATACCCTGTTCCACCCTGGTCTTCTCCAATACGAAGTAAGCAACTCCAACCTGCCAATTTTTTAGGCCAAAACCCTTGAAGTCATCCATGACACCTCTTTTTCTCTCAAGCTCCATCTTGAATCTCTCAGAAACTCTGATGGCTGTATTTTCAAAATACCAGAATCTGAACACTTTGCACCACCTACACAGCTGCCAGTGCTACCAAAAACTTTTCTCCCCCTGGATTACTTCAGTAATTTCCTAACTTGTCTGATTCCCATCTTCCAGAAAATAGACATCAAACAAGATTTTGGAAAGAAAGTCTGTCTGAGAAAAATGTAAATCAAAAGAATAACTTTCCTATAATCATTAAGAAATTGATATATTCCCAATATCCTTTTCTGAAACTCCATAATTTTAACAGCTTTTTGGGAAAGAAGAAATGCATTTTATGTAAACTGTGCAAAATGAATTAATTTCAGAAATATTAAAAATCATTTTTAAATGTGTCTTAGAATAAAGAAAACACTGAGGAATAGCAAGTCACATTTACTGAAGGCTTTTAGCAAAGGACTATTGTAACTGAGGCAGTGAGACTATAATTAGGGGCTCTCAGCTTCTCAGCATTATTCCAACTCTATTTCTTAGTTAGGATATGGCTGTGATCTTATGCTTACTATGCCTGACTTCTATGCTAGTTTACCATTAACTTAGCTTAGCTTGTTGGATGAAGAAAGCTGTTGATGTATATCGAGACTGAAGATTAGTTATTCTATAGGCCTCACCCTTGTTCCTTATTCTCCAGGAACAGCTAATCAAAGATTTATGACTTAATGTTCCAACCACAAGTGAGACTTGCTAGCTACCTGGAATCGTGTGATCAAGAAAAACATCCTGAAAATAGAAGACAGCCCCCTCCCCATGAGCATGTAGCCCTTTCCTCTTTCCCCTATATAATCTCCAAGCAAAACTGGCGAGTTGGGAGTTGGTTTTTTGGAACATGCATCTACCTTCTCCCCAGGATTCCCGGCTTCCTCAATAAAGCTATATTTCCTTTAACCCAACACTCTCAGCATTGGATTCTTGAGTGACAAGCTGCCAAACTGGAGTTCAGTAACAATATCATGATCTGTGCCATGTAGTATTCTAAATGTTTTAAAGATTAGCAATTTTAATTCTCACAGTTTCATAGATAAAGAAAATATGGTACAACACGTAAGTAACCTATCCAAGGTTGTCAGCAGGATATGTTTCCCATCTGCCTAATTCCAGAATTTGTGCTCTTGTCCCCTATATAAACAGGACAGAAAGACACTGCAGGAAGAACTACCAAAATTCAAGAAGTCTCCTACTTAAAATTTGAATTTAAATAGGAAAACAGTTGTTAGCTAAGATTTATTACTGGTTCTGAATAAAGAAACCTATTTCAATACCACTGGTTAAGAAAAGTCTATCTAAGCAACCAATTCATGAACTAAAATTTCTTGTCAAAATCTAAAAATCAATAAATAACTACAGAAAACACCTATTTCAAATAAGCAAGCAATTAAAAATAATGAAGAGAAAACCTTTTGGCTAGCAGTAGTAAATGATAAAGGAGGGTATGTATAAATGCACATATAATCCAAAGATAAAAATTATTTTTTACTATACATTAGATTTAAGAATGAAAACTGACAAAAATGTTAATCCTGAGCCATTGATTTACCCTCTAATGCTTACCTGAATTCCTCAAAAATTTCTATTATAGGGGAAAATTATCCTCAAAAAGTATCATCTATCCCAACTAATAATGGGAAACCCTCTGCCATTAAAAAAAAAAAAAAAAAAGTTGTGTTCACTTGTATACTGTTAAGAAGAAAAGAAATCGGGAGAAAAGAAGGGTGGTTTGCTAGCAAAGGTAACTTAATGGAATTGTTAAGGAGATTGGAAAAGGAATGTTTATGAGTAAAATGTGTAACCATAAGACTCCAAGAGGCACCAGGGCATTTTCTACTGATGGAATACGGAAAAAGAATGTCAAAAGTTTGTTCAATTAGTTACTTTATGTGAAAAGACAATAATGATTGTGAGTAATCTAAATAGAACATAATGGCAAGGAATAAGACAAATTCATAGTGATTTCGTTTCTTACTTCTTTGCTCTTTGCAACTTCTGCAATAGCAGCAGTCCTTTGCTTTTCAAATTCATCATTATCATTTGGAGGTTTGACAGGCAATGTAACTTGTAATGTCTTTCTTCGATCAAGTTCTCTGCTATCCACTTGGACATGAGATACACACTTCTGGCAATAATAAAAAAAAATAAATTGTTTCAGTAGTTCCAAAAGAGATGCAAGTTTTTCATAAGAAAGTAATGTCTTCAAAAGAAATATTTGTATCACAACAGCTAAGAGCCCATAAAAATACAATTATTTCCCATAGATTTAAAAATAAAGGTAGAAAACTAATTGAAGTAACTTTTAAGTAATTGCAACTGGTAAATGAAAGCTACACTACATGTAGGCAATCTAAAACAGGGCACATATTGGGTTGGCCAAAAAGTTCGTTTGGGATTTTCTGTAACATCTTACGAGTGAACATGTTGGCCAACCCAATATTTAAAACATCCATCAAACCAAAAGATCTAATTTTCATTTTAGGATAATGACTTAAAATAATTTTAAATTTCAAACAGTCTAGACTATTGCACAAGAAGTAAATTCAGTTTTTTATTAAACACTTGATTTCCACATTATGCCACGATATCCATGAGGGTTTATAGTTATTTTAACATATAGAAAGGTGTCTCTCAACTTATAAGCCAAAAGCTAAAAACATACTCCCTCCCCCTAATCAGGCTGCAAAGTTTTAGGTTTTTAGTCTCTTAAGACAAATTAAGAAAGCCATCATTGTCTAAAAATAAGTCCTGAATTCTGTTCTCTCTTCTAACTCCCGCAGCAAAAATCCTATAAAATGAACCTTTTTCAACTTGATAATTTTAAAGAGGAATAAAAATATGCTCTCAAATAAATGTGTTATACAAATACACAGATTTTTGATTTTCAATAATATAAATATAAAATAGCTGATTCTAACACACAGCCAAGCATATTCTGTCTTTAACCCATGTTCAAGGCTAAGATGCTGAATAACAGATTTTCACAATGGACTTCATAAACAAATAATATTATTTAAGCTATAACTTTTAATATACTTCCTAATACAAAAAAAAAGCTATAAACACACTTCAAATTCTTGAAAATAATTAAATCATAAGTCTCTGTGAGCAATTTTTGAAAGAAATATTATCACCAAAATGTTTAAGGGGAAAGAAAATTCTTACAAACACAGCATTTATTATTTTCAAATATAAATTATTAAAATGTTTACACTCTGCTTTCATTCTTGGGGTTTTTCACTGATAGAAATAAGAGTATCATCAGCACAGATCATGCCTCCTTTTATCTTGACTGTCCCATGTTCCAAAGCACAATAAAAAATGACATATGTTTTAAATACTTTCAAAATAGCCACAATGCAAGAATGTCTTATTTAATTTTGAGTAGACCCTCCAAAAAGGGTTTTGAAGAGGATGCCAGTCAATTGATCCTGCCCCCTTATTTTCTGATCAACTAGATATCTGTTTTTCATACCAAAATTTTTTTAATTGTTATTGAGATATAGGTCTGTTTCCTAGCTGTTGTGTCCCCAACTCATCTTCACTTTGAGCCACACTCTGGAAGGAAAATAAAGCACAAATGCAAGGCAGATTACCAAGAGCTAAATTTTAGTGGCCCCATGTGGCAAAGAGCAAGCAGCCACAGGGATTATTCTCAGATTCTTCAGTTATAAAGCAGGGACAAGCTGGAGGAGATTGTTTTAAAGGCAATTTGATGCTTAGCACAACCAGGAAGACACACGATATTGGTCAGCTGAGGAGGTACCTCAAGGTAACATTTTGCAGCAAGGGGGTTGAAAGTTAGGAAACAGAAGGAAAACCTTTAGCTTATGTGAGAGAAGAATCAGGGCTGCTGTAGTTGAAAACGAAAATACCAAATGGAAATAAAATTAAATACCTGACTGAGATGGGCATTTGGATCAAGGCAGAGAATAGAATCTCGGAAGGGGCAGCTGGGACAGCAGGCTCTCCTAAAGTGCATTGATGCCCTTCCCTGCCTCATGTTCTCACTCTTTTGTCTCCTGTCAATCTTTCTGTTGATACTTTTATTTTTTCTCCCTCTTTTGTTTTTAATGAACAAAGTGAGAAATTATAGCATATTTTTGTCTTCTTACTTTTGCATTTCTCTCTCAAAAAAAATGCCCCCACCACGATCTGATATTAATTTTAAGCTGCATTTCAGATGTGTCTCTTAACTGTTTCAATCTTTGGGTTAACAGCTTTTTTTTTTTTTTTTTGCGGTACGCGGGCCTCTCACTGTTGTGGTCTCTCCTGTTGTGGAGCACAGGCTCCGGACACGCAGGCTCAGCGGCCATGGCTCACGGGCCCAGCCGCTCTGCGGCATGTGGGATCTTCCTGGGCCGGGGCACGAACCCGTGTCCCCTGCATCGGAAGGCGGACTCTCAACCACTGCGCCACCAGGGAAGCCCTGGGTTAACAGCTTTTGAGAAAAGAATCTACACAAAAACTTTAATTACAATAACGAGTAAAAGAAACACAATTATTGATTTCCTGTAGTTAATATATTTCCATACAACTCCTATGACCTCTGAGTGAACAGTTCAGCACAAAACTAAACACAGCTTGAATACAAATGAAAAACACTTTTTGCTGATTAAAATTCATCTGCCAAAATGAAAGTCATTACCTGTCCAAAAGGCACAAAAGGAGGTGGTCCACCTTCAGTTCCAATATTGCTTCTATTGTGTTTTGACAAGCTCTGTGAGAAAAGTGAGTTGTAAAACAGAAATTATACATTAAAAATATATTTAACAACACTTATAATGCATCAGGAATCTACTCATTTTAGTAGATTCTTATAGGAAATAGAAAAAAAGCCTTCTATTATCAATTTCAAACTATATAAATTATCGTATTCCTAACTTCAATAGCTAGGCAAAAGCTCTCCCCTTACTTCCCCTTTCTAAAACCCAAATCGACATATGATTTTCAGAAGTATTTGCCAAGTTGCTCCCATAAAAAGAAAACACAGTTAAAACCTCTCAACAAAGATGATAAACTTTGGTAGCAAGAATTTCATTTTAATTAATTTCATTTTAATGCATAGTAAAACAATCTGACAAAAATATTATCTGGAAATTATCTTCAAAATGAAATTTTTAGACATAAAAATCTATTAGCAAACAACATCTTTGTGATACTGTTATATAATAAGAAACATATATTTGGTCTTTGTCCCCAGTTCCTGGAACAGAGACCCTAAAACACTTGAAATTTCCTGAATCACAGGGTTAAGGAGCACATTTTGTTCTTCATAATAAGCGCCTTTGAGCATCCTGAGTTTATATTAATGAGGTGACTATTAATGGGCCCCTAGCAAGCTCCAGGGTGGGGACTGGTAGCTGGAAAAACCAACCATGCGAATAGAGGGCTAGAGATTGAGTCAATCACCAATGACCAGTGATTAAATCACGCGGGCCTATGTAATGAACCTCCATTAAAACCCCATAAACAATGGGGCTCAGGGAGCTTCCAGGCTGGTGAATACATCCATGTGCCAGAAGGGTGGTACACACCAAACTCCACAGGAACAGAAGCTCCTGTGTCCATGACCCTTCCCGATCTTGCCCTATTAAGCTCTTCATCTGGCTATTTATCTTTTATAACATCGTTTATAATAAACCAGTAATAGCAAGTAAAGTGTTTCCCTAAGTTCTGTGAGCCATTAGAGCAAATTATCAAATCTGAGCAGGGGATCCTGAGAACCCCTAATTTGTAGCCAAGTTTGACAGAAGAGTGGATAACATCAGGACCTACTACTTTCAACTGGCACCTGAAGTGAGGGGCAGTCTTCTGAGACTGAGTTCTTAACCTATGGGGTCTGTACTAACTCCAGGTAGTTAGTGTCAGAACTGAATTAAATTTTAGGACATCCACCTGCTATCCCAGTGGAGAGAACTGGAGAATTGCTTGATGTGGAAAAGAAAACTCCACACTTGGTGTCAGAAGTTCTGTTAACTAGAAACAGTTCATAGGAATACTGATAAAAGTGATTTCTAACTATTTAAAGAGATCAGACTGCTATAGTTTATAATATGGAGGATAATTTCGATTACAGTAAAATTTCCTTAAAAAAAGTCTTGTTTTGCAAATCAATGTATACTTAAAAGAAGTATTGAACAGATTGCTCTTTAATAAAAAAAAAAAAAGCTTCCAGGGCTTCCCTGGTGGCACAGTGGTTGAGAGTCCGCCTGCCAATGCAGTGGACACGGGTTCGTGCCCCGGTCTGGGAAGATCCCACATGCCGTGGAGCGGATGGGCCCGTAAGCCATGGCCGCTGAGCCTGTGCGTCTGGAGCCTGTGCTCCGCAACGGGAGAGGCCACAACAGTGAGAGGCCCGCGTACCGCAAGAAAAAAAACTAACCTATAAACAAATGACAATGAAAACACGATGACCCAAAACCTACGGGATGCAGCAAAAGCAGTTCTAAGAGGGAAGTTTATAGCAATACAATCCTACGGTAAGAAACAAAAAACATCTCAAATCAACAACCTAACCTTACACCTAACGCAATTAGAGAAAGAAGAACCAAAAAACCCCAAAGTTAGCAGAATGAAAGAAATCATAAAGATCAGATCACAAATAAGTGAAAAAGAAATGAAGGAAACCATAACAAAGATCAATAAAAGTAACAGCTGGTTCTTTGAGAAAATAAACAAAATTGATAAACCATTAGCCAGACTCATCAAGAAAAAAAGGTAGAAGACTGAAATCAATAGAATTAGAAATGGAAAAGGAGAAGTAACAACTGACACTGAAGAAACACAAAGGATCATGAGAGATTATTACAAGCAACTATATGCCAATAAAATGGACAACCTCGAAGAAATGGAAAAATTCTTCAAAAAGCACAACCTTCTAAGACAGAACCAGGAAGAAACAGAAAATATAAACAGACCAATCACAAGCTCTGAAATTGAAACTGTGATTAAATATCTTGCAACAAACAAAAGCCCAGGACCAGATGGCTTCACAGGCAAATTCTATCAAATATTTAGAGAAGAGCTAACACCTATCCTTCTCAAACTCTTCCAAAATATAGGAGAGGGAGGAACACTCCCAAATTTATTCTACGAGGCCACCATCACCCTGATACCAAAACCAGACAAAGATGTCACACAGAAAGAAAACTACAGGCCAGTATCACTGATGAACATAGATGCAAAAATCCTCAACAAAATACTAGCAAACAGAATCCAACAGCACATTAAAAGGATCATACACCATGATCAAGTGGGGTTTACCCCAGGAATGCAAGGATTCTTCAACATACACAAATCAATCAATGTGATACACCATATTAACAAATTGAAGAAAAACCATATGATCCCCTCAATAGATGCAGAAAAATCTTTCAACAAAATTCAACACCCATTTATGATAAAAACCCTCCAGAAAGTAGGCACAGAGGGAACTTACCTCAACATAATAAAGGCCATATATGACAAACCCACAGCTAACATCGTCCTCAATGGTGAAAAACTGAAACCATTTGCACCCAGATCAGGAACAAGACAAGGTTGCCCACTGTCACCACTATTATTCAACATTGTTTTGGAAGTTTTAGCCACAGCAATCAGAGAAGAAAAAGAAATAAAAGGAATCCAAATCAGAAAAGAAGAAGTAAAGCTGTCACTGTTTGCAGATGTCATGATACTATACATAGAGCAGCCTAAAGATGCCATCAGAAAACTACTAGAGCTAATCAATGAATTTGGTAAAGTAGCATGATACAAAGTTAATGCACAGAAAGCTCTTGCATTCCTAAACACTAATGATGAAAAATCTGAAAGTGAAATTAAGGGAACACTCCCATTTACCACTGCAACAAAAAGAATAAAATACCTAGGAGTAAACCTACCTAAGGAGACAAAAGACCTGTATGCAGAAAACTTTAAGATACAGATGAAAGAAATTAAAGATGATAGAAATAGCTGGAGAGATATACCATGTTCTTGGATTGGAAGAATCAACACTGTGAAAATGACTATACTATCCAAAGCAATCTACAGATTCAATGCAATCCCTATCAAACTAACACTGGCATTTTTCACAGAACTAGGACAAAACATTTCACAATTTGTATGGAAACACAAAAGACCCCAAATAGCCAAAGCAATCTTGAGAAAGGAAAACGGAGCTGGAGGAATCAGGCTCCCTGACTTCAGACTATACTACAAAGCTGCAGTAATCAAGACAGTATGGCACTGGCACAAAAACAGAAATATACATCAGTGGAACAGGATAGAAAGCCCAGAGATTAACCCACGCACATATGGTCACCTTATTCTTGATAAAGGAGGCAAGAATATACAGAGGAAAAAAGACAGTCTCTTCAATGAGTGGTGCTGGGAAAACTGGACAGCTATATGTAAAAGAATGAAACTAGAACACTCCCTAACACCATACACAAAAATATATTCAAAATGGATTAAAGACATAAATGTAAGGCCAGACACTATCAAACTCTTAGAGGAAAACATAGGCAGAACACTCTATGACATAAATCACAGCAAGATCCTTTTTGACCCACCTCCTAGAGAAATAGAAATTAAAAGAAAAATAAACAAATGGGACCTAGTGAAACTTAACAGCTTTTGCACAGCAAAGGAAACCATAAACAAGATAAAAGAGAACCCTCTAAATGGGAGAAGATATTTGCAAATGAAGCAACTGACAAACGATTAATCTCCAAAATTTACAAGTAGCTCATGTAGCTCAATATCAAAAAACAAACAACCCAATCCAAAAATGGGCAGAAGACCTAAATAGACATTCCTCCACAGAAGATATACAGATTGCCAACACACACATGAAAGAATGCTCAACATCATTAATCATTAGAGAAATGCATAACAAAACTACAATGAGATATCATCTCACACCAGTCAGAATACTCATCAACAGAAAATCTATAAACAATAAATCCTGGAGAGGGTGTGGAGAAAAGGGAATCCTCTGGCACTGTTGGTGAGAATGTAAATTGATACAGCCACTATGGAGAACAGTATGGAGGTTCCTTAAAAAACTAAAAATAGAAGTACCATACGACCCAGCAATCCCACTACTGGGCATATACCCTGAGAAAAGCATAATTCAAAAAGAGTCATGTACCACAATGTTCACTGCAGCTCTATTTAAAATAGCCAGGACATGGAAGCAACCTAAGTGTCCACTGACAGATGAATGGATAAAGAAGATGTGGCACATATATACAATGGAATATTACTCAGCCATAAGAAGAAACGAAATTGAGTTATTTGTTGAGTTATAGTGAGGTGGATGGACCTGGAGTCTGCCATACAGAGTGAAGTAAGTCATAAAGAGAAAAACAAATACCATATGCTAACACATATATATGGAATCTAAAGAAAAAAAATGGTCATGAAGAACCTAGGGGCAGGATGGGAATAATGATGCAGACCTACTAGAGAATGGACTTGAGGACACGGGGAGGGGGAAGGGTAAGCTGGAACAAAGTGAGAGCATGGCATGGACATATATTCACTACCAAATGTAAAACCGATAGCTAGTTGGAAGCAGCCGCATAGCCCAGGGAGATCAGCTTGGTGCTTTGTGACAACCTAGAGGGGTAGCATAGGGAGGGTGGGAGACTCAAGAGGGAAGAGATATAGGGATAGATGTATATGTATAGCTGATCCCCTTTTTTATAAAGCAGAAACTAACACACCATTGTA